ATGACGTAGTTATTTGTTTGATTCGTACTTCACATTCGAGTCGAAGCTTGGGGGGCACAGGTTATTTCTTACGGTGGAATCGACAAGGGAAATTCGAACACTAGTGGTCACTAGTTGTAGTGTTTGAATTGTTGGAAGAAATGGTCGCATGGGGATGTAGGAATGGTAGGTTTAACGAACAGTGTCAAATTTTGCCCCTTGAATTGAAAGTGAAGTTCATTTGAATACTTTCGTATGTATTTCTGACTGTTTTAGATCTACCTGCTCGATTTATATCTGCTACGCTTCATGTTGACAAGTCCCTCAAAATGGCGGCAAAACTTGGAGATTGCCGAAAATGAGGTAAGTTCACGCAGTTATAAAGTTTTAGTAAAGGTCGGGCCGCAAAGTTTTTTTCCGTAGTTACCTTTTCTATGGCACCTACTTCCTAGCTATATTAGTTGGATCAGTTAACAACGCCTCACTTTTTCAAAAATGTACCTTGAATTTGATCGGTTTTCGCGTGTGTGACTTAAGCGAACCGATAAGGTGTCGTTCAAGTCTTCCTGTTTGCTTGATTGAAACGTGATGTTCACGAATGTCGCGTCGATGGATAAGATAGTGTTAATATACATGGCTGTGGTATTTGTTTTTTGCTGAGTTCCGTAGTTTGTTGTAAATTGTCCGGCAAAGTTGCCTCAAATTAACGTCTTGAAAAGTGTCACGACAGGCCTTCGCTCGAGGGAAATTTAATTTCCGTAAAACTCTGAAAAATAAAGAGATCCGATCAAACGGATTGTGGTTTTATTATAGGTACATGAATGTCTTACAACACACAAGAAATGAGCTAAATCTATGTCTCAAGGAAAATCGACCGGACCGCTCTTACAGAGACACTCTCTTAAAATGGTCACGCACAGAAGTCGCTTGTCACGCCAACCGCCGAGTGGTGTCCCCTAAATTACGCCAAATTTGTCTCGTTGTCCTTACTTTAACTAATAATAAGTGTTAAATAGTTAGTTGCGCAGTCTCAATCTTTGCCGGAACCGTGACATTAATTTAGAGTTTGCCAGGTGCATCGAGGGTCATTTTTCTGTTCAGTAAATGATTGTTTGTAATAAGATTCCTCTGCAATCTTGATATCACCGTTAACTTGTTGCGAGGTCTTTTAAATTCAGCTTATATGTCACGTTCATGCATTCCTTTTTTTTAACTCTGAAGTAATCCATGGAGATCTTTTTGAACGGATCCGTTTTGTTCGTAAAGGAGTATGGGTGTCAACAACATTTAAGGGCTTAATTTTCCACTCACGCCGCATGTCATGTCGTGTTTCATTTACTTTCCAGCTGGATTTTTCGGAAACTTGTTGTAACTGGTAAACAGCCTTGGTTTTCTTACTAACCTTAGAATAATTTGCAGAAAAGAAGTCCGCTAGCTAGAAAATATGACGACGAAAATTTATCGTCATTTACAATTCGACGGTCATTTTATTGATAACTAAAAAACACTCATTTTTTTGTTATTCTTGTGCTCACTGTTTCTTGAAAAAGGCAAAATCTTGTTAATGCTTCGGATACCTTTTATAACCCCATGCCTCCAATGGTCGTCCCTTGATGTTTGATCTATACATGTAGAGGATATTACATGGCCGCTTAAAGATAAGGAATTTCTCTCCTCGTGTTGAACGAGACCTCTATAATGAGGTTTTATTGGGCTGACAACTGTATGGTGGCCGAGAACTGCCACTGAGTCTTCGGCACATTTTTTCTTTTTTTTCTTTATTATAAGTAGATTGAATGTAAAACAAAATGAAAACAACATTTAAATCAAATAAAAATGCAATAAAATGTAAAACAAAATGCAAGTCAAATCTCAATCAAAATACAAATGCAATTAAATTTAAAATGCAAAGTTAACTCCATTCAGATTATAATTGACTGCACTTTAAAAGAGAATGCAAAACAGAATATAAGTAGAAGTCAAAGTCAATTAAAATTCAATAAATTTTGAAAAGAGAATGGAAAACGAAGTTAGTGGCAGTGCTCGGCCATGCGAAGATTTACTTTCGTTTGAAGTAAAATTGAAAGTAAATTATTCGCGTGGCCGAGCGCTGCCACTGCCAGACCCGCCCCAGGCCTCCAAACCAATACCATAAAGCCATGCGCGCGTTTTGTGTGAGTCGTCAACATGGCGGAGTGGAGGCGGTATGCCGCCATTCAGAAGGCTAAGAGAAAAGGCAAGAAAACAGGAGAGGAAAGCACTGTGGCGGAAGAAATAGTAGTGCAGAGAATGAGTGCAGATGTATCAGGCAAAAAGCAGAAATACACTAGGATAGGGCCCCAGGAATACGTGCCTTTTCAGCACGAAGAGATAACGATTGCGAACATCAAAGACGCCTGCAAGAAGCACTTCAGGCCTCAGGTCGAAAAAAATCTTATCTGTGACGTACTGGCTGGAGAGCGCGGGCCATCTTGCGAAAAGATGGCCCATATTCCAAACCGAAAAGTGTTCTATATATGGTTTATAAAACGCGAAGGAGTGGAGGTCGTTTCCAATGAGGATGGATCGTTGGAATGCAAGGTAATAGCACAATAAACCCGTAATAATAAAAAAGAATCACGGGTTTTATTTGCACTTTGGATTTGGATTATGAACTCAAGACCTTTCTTCTAGGAATTCTGATAAGGACATTTTAGGTAGTTGAGGTTTTAGTCACAGTAAAATAATCTTCGCGGAAGCGTTTTGTTTACTCACCGGTTTACTCGTGGTGTATAGAAATATCCGTGGGGAGTGACTTTTTGCAAAGCCACTGTTTGTATTAAAGTTTAGAAAACGTTTTAATTGCAAAATTAAACCAAATCTGCATCTAGCCGTTGCTTCCAGCACATTAGATTATTGGTACTATTTGATACTATGAAGTCCCAGGAGGATTGAAATTTCCAGGATAGAATTAGAAAACTTTTGTTCCCTGATTCATAACAATCTATAGTTTTCTACATTCCACTACAAGGTTACAAATCAGCATTCTTAAACTCATTAATAATTCGTAAGGTCGCAGGGGCGGATCCAGGATTTTCCTTAGGAGGGGATACACCAATAAGAAATGGCGTAACTGACTGGTGATTTAAAGAAATTTTCAAAGCGAATATGAAGAGGCTTCATCTCAGGGGGTTGGGGGAGGGGGTGTTCACCCCCTGCACCCTCCCCCTAGATCTGCCCCTGGGTCAGCAGTCAATAAGATTTATTTAGGTGAGGTGGACGGATCTTGATACCCAATACCAATAGTTAATACTAATTATTTTTCAAAAGTCAGCACTTGGCCCTCAGCCTTGTGCTTTCATCAGTTTCTCTGTGTTTGTCTGGAACCCCTGAGTAAATACTCACCCCCCATTGTCGATAATTATAGAACTTAAAAGTCTGGCAAAATGTTATATCAATTTTTGTTTTATCAATGTTCAAGATAGCAGTTTAACATGGTTGCAAGTTCTTCCTTTTGTTCAAATAAAACTCGTGATTCATTTTGATTATTACGGGTTTATTGTGCTATTACCTTGCATTCCAACGATCCATCCTCATTGGAAACGACCTCCACTCCTTCGCGTTTTATAAACCGTATATGGAACACTTTTCGGTTTGGAATATGGGCCATCTTTTCGCAAGATGGCCCGCGCTCTCCAGCCAGTACGTCACAGATAAGATTTTTTTCGATCTGAGGCCTGAAGTGCTTCTTGCAGGCGTCTTTGATGTTCGCAATCGTTATCTCTTCGTGCTGAAAAGGCACGTATTCCTGGGGCCCTATCCTAGTGTATTTCTGCTGTTTGCCTGACACATCTGCACTCATTCTCTGCACTACTATTTCTTCCGCCACAGTGCTTTCCTCTCCTGTTTTCTTGCCTTTTCTCTTAGCCTTCTGAATGGCGGCATACCGCCTCCACTCCGCCATGTTGACGACTCACACAAAACGCGCGCGTGGCTTTATGGTATTGGTTTGGAGGCCTGGGGCGGGTCTGGCAGTGGCAGCGCTCGGCCACGCGAATAATTTACTTTCAATTTTACTTCAAACGAAAGTAAATCTTCGCATGGCCGAGCACTGCCACTAACTTCGTTTTCCATTCTCTTCTCAAAATTTATTGAATTTTAATTGACTTTGACTTCTACTTATATTCTGTTTTGCATTCTCTTTTAAAGTGCAGTCAATTATAATCTGAATGGAGTTAACTTTGCGTTTTAAATTTAATTGCATTTGTATTTTGATTGAGATTTGACTTGCATTTTGTTTTACATTTTATTGCATTTTATTTGATTTAAATGTTGTTTTCATTTTGTTTTACATTCAATCTACTTATAATAAAGAAAAAAAAGAAAAAAATGTGCCGAAGACTCAGTGGCAGTTCTCGGCCACCATACCGATCTTTTCATGAGCCAAACCTAATTCGAATTAATGCCGACCCAAATTATTTAGACCGGCTGAATTGATTCAGACGCCGATCTTAATTGCAGCTGAACTAAGTTCAAAAGGCGAAAATTGCTCATTTTGGTCAAACTGCTTGCAAAATACGTTATAACAATTTATGCATTAGGTTCGGTACATGAAAGTGCGGCGTCTGAATCAAAGCCGTTCCAAAGTCCCTTCAAAGGCGAAATTATCGGCCAGGCTAGGCGAAAAGAACGGCTGAGCCATTCCAAACTGAAACAGGCGTTCCTAATTAATTCAGACGCCGAGCTTTTCATGTACTTAATTCAATGTATTAGGTTCGGCTTCATGAAAAGTTCGGCGTCTGAACCGGGCCTTAATTCGCCTTTGCCACAGGCTGCCCACAAAAAGCGATTTATTATGTGGCCATAGTAACGGTGATCTTTTCACCTGTGAAGATATTGACTTTTTGCTTGAAAAGTCACATGTTATGTCATTGGTGTTTTTATAATAAAATAAAGTAGTCCCCGTCATTAATGATAATTATTGCTTAATGAAGGAAACCGCCATTTTTTTCAGAATTAGAATCAACAGTTAATTTCTTTTTCGTACTCTGTTACAGGTTGGTGATCCAAAAGAAGACAGTGCTAGTGAATTTTCATTAACGGAACCTGATCATGAGTTAGTGGTTGATACTACTTTACCTTCCAAGGAGATCAAGAAACGAGCCGTACAGTTGATAAAGGAAATACAAGGTAAAGGTGTTGAGCCTGAAGAATCTGTTGTCAGTATTGAGCTGTGGGATTTTGCTGGACAACACCTGTATTATGCATCCCATCCTGTATTTTTAACATCACATGCGCTGTACATCTTGGTGTGCAACCTCAGCAAGTCATTGTATGACACAGCCAAACCCTGTGTGAGACAAGGATCTCTTAATGTTGATTTGGACAACCCAAATGCAGAAACAAATCTCGAGAATTTGTTGTCTTGGCTGTCCACAGTACATAGCGTCGCACAGATGAGAAGAGAAACCTGCGATGACCCAGAGGGAAATCTGCCTCATCTGCGCCCCCCAGTGATCATTGTAGGAACCCATGCAGACAAACCATTTGAAGACATTGAAACAATGAAAACAGAAATCCAGAACGCAATTGCTGGTAAGGACTATGAACAACATGTGGTGCGACCTATCTTCAGCATTGACAACACTGCGAAGTTAATTGAAAGTAAGATCAAAAAGGTTTTTAGGAAAGATGAAAGCATTGATAAAATTCGAGCTCTACGGACCAAAATCATGGAAGTGCTAAGAGAGGAGCCTTACATTGGGGAGAGTATACCTGTGAGGTAAAATTTATTCAGTTAAAACAGGAACATTATTCTACTGTAATAGAATTTAAAAATTTCAGGATTCTATTTTTTTGAAGAGTCACACTTCTGTCCAGAAATGCACGCAATGGCGAATCTGGCAAATAATCGCCAGAGGGTTGGCAAAAAGCCGAGTTTATTGAGAGATCTTTCACAGAAAATCATGCGCCGATGTCCACCAATTTTCTTTTTTTATACGAATGATTACAAGAAAATAGAACCTATCAGCAAAAATCATTTCAGCCTTAAACACCAACATGTTTTAAGACCAGCTGGTGTAAGTAATTCAGAGCACTGAGGAAAGGAATTTTCAGCAGTGATACCTGCAGGCTGGCCAAGAAATGACATTCGTAAATATGAATTCAAAAGCGATAGACACCATGGTCTTCGACTTTTAACGGTGAAATGACTGTCCTTTTCTGATGAATGGCTTGATATACATAAAAATGTCGTCGTCGAGGTCTGCATGACAACGGCTTAACTGGGACAGACATGTGCCATGAGCTGATTTCCAGTTATCGTCATCGTCCCAGCGCAGGTCAAAATATTTAACTTTTTAGACATGCGCTAAGCATAAAATCATATGCTTTGACTTTCTGACGGCTCCTCGTTATAGGTACTGCTTCTAGACAATAAAAGCTGTCACAGTTATTAATGTATGACTTAGCTAGCAGTCATAAAAAACAATATCCGGCTGCTTGACACATGTTTACTATGTACTACAGCTTTGCCTGACCCAGGGGCGTAGCTGCCTTTAAGGCATTGATCCCGCCGGTTTAACATAAATTTCATGTGAACCAGAATGTAAGCATGTCAACAGGGCGTGAAACTGCATCTAATTGATGCACCAATGTCTGTCGCAATGAAAGGGTTATGCAAAATTGGCCCATAATACATAAAACAAAATCTGTCGCTAAACTCTGACTTTCTGCTCGAATCATAATAGGTTAAGTACTCGTAATTGTGAAGGGTCTCAGCTCTTACATAAACATCTTTTTTTGTTTTTGTTTTGTTTTTTAATCCTGGGGAACACCGGTTAATGGTATTGTCGACCACCTGAGATAGTATCCAAGAACCTCCAATCAGAAAAGGTTTGCATACCTTTTTCATGTAAAGTATGTTTATTATACATTGATCTATGTTAAACTCCAACATCGTACAGATCAATCCATTTGAATGGTTCTGTTCCTTAATTTCCTTAAAAAATCTATCTTAAAAGTAGATTCGTTCTGCTCTATTTAGCTGCCATAACTCGAATTTCAGAGCCAGTTAAGTCTTATGTGACTGTAATTTAATTTGAAAGGGCTCCTATGTCTTCTTCTTTCTTGGCAACTTAGCAGATACACGGAGCACAGCAGTAGTTGAAGTCCGATCACGACTAAGAAAATCGCCACTCTGTTCATTTTTTCTCCTCGCCATGTCGTTGACGGGTTCACTGAGACTTCAAAGACATTTTTGCACTACGATAAGGGCGAAGATATACGTGCAATCTATGATACTAAGATGATGATGATGATGATGATAATAATAATAATAATAATAATAATAATAATAATAAACATTTGTATAGCGCATATACAGCAGCTCTATGCGCTTTACAAAATATTCACACGATTGTAAACAATAAAAATTAAAAAAATAAATTTAGATAAAAATTAATTCTTGAAATTGATATTTAAAAAATAGGTCTTCAGCTTAGACTTAAAAATTGTAAGATTGTCAGTAGATTTAATGTCATCAGGTAACTGATTCCAAACTCAGGGGCAGAGATGGCGAAAGCCCTGGCACCATATGTCCTCATGTTATAATCAATCGGGCTAGAAGTAAGGCAGATGTGATCGAAGAGTGCGAGCAGGACAATACGAGGTTAGGAGTTCTTTGACGTAAGAAAGCGATGGGTTGTGGAGGCCTTTGAAGGTTAAAAGAACAATTTTAAATTTAATGCGTTCGACAACGGGAAGCCAATGCAGTTGCATCAATACAGCAGTTACGTGATCGAATTTTGAAGATGTCACTAAGCGCGGAGCAGCATTCTGAACGGACTGTAGTTTCCGCAGTAGATGTTTGTTTGGGGATGCTATAAAGCAGAGAATTACAGAAATCTAACTTCGAGGAGACAAGGAACGCAGTGATCTTAGGAGATAAACACTTCCTAATACGAGCAATGTTCCTCACTTGATAGAAAGCTGTCTTGCAGACGGAGATAACGTGAGGTATCATAGAAAGAATACAGTCAAAAATACCACCAATGCCTCTGACATGTTGGGAGGGCTGGATGAGATCAGCACCGAAACGTAGTGGGATAAAAGACTTCTGTGGACGGTATTTGGAATAAAAATGTATCAGTTCCGTCCTATCTTTGTTTAATTTAAGCTTGTTAACAGTCATTCATAAATGTGTGTCATTTACGCATTTTTCGATGTTACCCATGATACATTGTAATCCCAAGTGGTTGTCGCAGGAGAAAGAAGCATACAACTGGGTGTCATCAGCGTTAAGATGGAAAGCCATTTTGTGGCGTCGAAGAATGTGGCCACAGGTGATGTGTAGAGAAGGTGTGTAGAGAGTGGGCCCAACCCGGAGCCTTGGGGTACGCCACAATTCAATTCATGAGACAAGGATTTATCCAGGTCGATGCATACAAGCCGAGAGTGAAGAGTGAACTACGCAAACAGCAATTAACTGTGACGCTTTCCGACGCAATCATTTAGCACGTTATTATAGTTTTTTGGGAAAAAAAGAAAAAATACAAAAATTTATATGTTACTGTACCGTTTTTGCTTTGTTTTACTTTGTATTTAAGGGCATTTTCCAAGTAAAAGGCCCCGGGGGCTTATAGAGCTATTTAAAAAAAGGTTGCTTTGGTAATTGGACATTGGGCATGCATTTGTGCATATGGAACAATGCCATGATTTATTTGAATAACCACTTAACAATAGCTTCCCAATGCCCAATCCCCAAAGCACGAAGCAATCTTTACTGAATCAGCTATGTTCGGAGGGGCGATTTAACGGAGGGTTTTTTGCGTTACGTTTGGGGGGCTTATATTTGGACGGGGTCATTTTTGGAATTTTACGGTATGGTCGATAGTGTCCAACGCCTCCGATAAATAGAGTAATAACAGAACCACACAACAATGGTTATGACAACCGATGAGGGATAGATTTGTTCCCCTAACAGGTAGATAGGAGGTAGTGACAGAGCTCTTGTCAGATTTGGGACGCCTACCACTAATAGCTTGGTTTTATCAGGATTTATTAGAAGCGAGTTCGCACAGCACCAGCTTGAAACTTCTTCGATGTCACTGTTTAGGGCATCCACAGCCCTACTCACATTGCAAGGAGGCAGTGATAAAAGAATCTTGGTGTCATCAACGTATCCCATAGTTTGACAGTTCTTACGGACGGACAGAAGCTCATTAACATAAAGGGTGAACAATACAGGGTCAGGAATTGACCCCTGGGCCACTTCCACCGTTAACTGGAGGGGATCGGACAGAACAGAACCTAGCTTGACGGCTTGATGATGATGATGATGATGATACCTTTATTAAAGAGTCAAAACTGTAATAGCGGTGTATAACCACTAAGTGGGGACACTAAAATAAATTTAAAAAGAATAAATCAATTAATAAATTAATTAAAATTAAGAAAAACTATGTACAGTATAAGTAAGTGAGAAATTCGAGAGAATTATATACAATATGTACAAATGCATCCATTATCTTATAAAAAAAATAAGAAATAAAAGATTAAGAAGTGCAAAAAGATCAGTTAGAGCAGTTATGGTCATCTAATAGCATGCTAAGATCCACTTTTCTGATGTTATATTTGAAGGAGGACAACGTGGAAGCTTTTTTCACGTTACTAGGAACAGAACTCCATACCTTTGGGCCCATATACCTGAGCGAGTTCTTTCCAAAGGAGACTGTGTTGAATCTGGGTATAGTGAAGTCATGATTGCGCAGTTAATACTTAATTGCAGGCTGTTCAAAGAGAGTGCTAATGTATGTTGGGCACATGTTGTTTTTAACTTTATACATGAGAATAGCTATGTGCTGTAGTCGCCGGTTGTGTAGAGTAGATAGCCCAGCCATAGATAGTAATTGACCATAGGACGAATGTTTATCACAATATATAGCCCTAAGTGTTCTTTCCTGGATACGCCCTAGTCGTCTAGAATCACTAGCACGGCAAAAATGCCATGTAAGATGACAGTAGGTTAAATACGGGAGAACAGCTGCCTTATATAACTGTAACTTAGTTTGTGTGGGTATAAGGTTCCTGAGCCTCATGAGAACGCCTACCCGCTGGGCGCTCTTCTTAGAGATACTACTTATATGTTCATCAAAACGAAGATTGTGAAAGGTTTGAACCCAGGAGTCATATCAAAAGGTTGAGTTTGATCGTGCGGGTGAACGTAGTCCTGAATAGGATTGTTGTTGTTGACAGTGACTGACGTTTCGACAACCTGTGCGGTAGTCATCTTCAGAGTCAAAGTGAGTTGTGTCACGTCAGTTGATGGTATTATACTCTGGTTATTGATCTGATTGGTCAATTATGTCGCGATGTTATTGGTCGTCTGTCAGTTAAGCCGTGATGTTATTGGCTATGAAGACTCGTAATAAGTGATTGGTGCGTTTCGGTCCGTCTATTGTCACAGTTAAACAGTCGTCTATTGTTAGTCAAATTGTCAGTTCTCCAGTTGTTCTCTCGTAGTTAGTTTTGCTTGATCTCGTCAATAAGTCGTTTGTACGGCGCTGGTAACTGTTGGCTACGATTCAGTGGCGTTTGTTCTAAGTTAGTAAACCAGCTTTCTAAAGTAAGACGTTGATAGTAGTCTGTAGAATATGTTATACATGTCGCAGAGTCCCAGTCAATTTGATGTTTCGTCTTTAAATGGTGCTCAGCAATGTGATTGTTGACGTCACCATTCCTGGTCGCGCGTTTGTGTTCGGTCAGTCGCGTGCTTAGGTTTCTGCCGGTTTCACCAATGTAAGAAGCCTGCCAGTCGCAGCATTTGATCTTGTATACTGCTCCCTGTCTGTCCTCCGATTTGTCTTTGTCCTTGACATTAGTAAGCAGTCGCCGTAAAGTGGTTATCGGTTTGTGCGCAACACGTATATTGTAAGGTTGTAATATACGTGCAATAGTTTCAGAGGTGCCTCTGATGTACGGTATAGTCGCTGTCGTAACAGGGCCAGAGTTTGTCTGAGAGTTGGAATCGGTGTTACTGTGAGTGTTCCGTCTAACAAAGTCCGTGTTGTAATTGTTCTTACTAAAAACGTTGTTAAGATAATCAGTCTCGTCTTTTAGGCTGTCATGTGAGTCGCAAACTAGTTGTTATCGATACAGACACCTAATAGCTTGAGACATTCAGTGGATCTGACTTCATGATTGTCAATCATAATACTGTCCTTCCTCAACCAAGTGCCATTGTCTGGTACTTGTCCAAATTTCCCTTTAGTAAATTAGCTCTGTACCATGAAGATGCTGACTCAGCGCAAACAGCAAGATCATCATGCACATCAGAGAGGGTGCTGCGAACGACATAAAACTGGTGGTCATCTGCATACATATTCATGTTCGCATCAACAGTATATGTCAAATCGTTTTGGAAGATGTTTCAGATGAGAGGTCCAAATGCAGAACCCTGTGGGCATCCCCTGGTGACCCTCTGCCACTCGCTCACTACAGATCCTAGCTTGACCCTGTGATAACGGTCTGTGAAGTAGGAGCCCATCAATCGCAGACTTCTTTCCTCAACACCATAAGCTTTAAGTTTTGCAAGTGTAAGTGGATGGTAAAGTGAATCGAAGGCTTTGCTCATGTCCGTGGAGAGAACACCCAAAACGTTATGCTCATCCAGAGCGAATTTCCAATTCTCAGTCAAAGACAAGAGAGCTGTCTCACAGCAATTGTTTTTCCTGTAAGCTGTTAGTTTGTCGCACAGTTTGTTATTAAAACCATAACTGAGTTGCTTGCTGAGTAATTGTTCAAAGAGTTTGTTTACAGTAACTTGTACAGTTATGGGTCTGTATTTTCCCTTTTCATGGGGATCTTCCTTCTTAAAAACGGGTGTCCATTTACCCCTTTTCCATCCCAAGGGCCACTCTCCGAGGGTTATACATGAATTAAATAGTGACGTCAATGGATTTGTTAGCTCAGTAGCTCCAAGCTTGAGCGCCATGGGAGCGATGCCGTCCCAGCCTGTACTCTTCCTTACATTGACGTTTTGCAGCGCCTTTCCCCTAACCGGTAGATAGGGGGTAGTGACAGAACTCTTGTCAGATTTGGGACGCCTACCACTAATAGCTTGGTTTTATCAGGATTTATTAGAAGCGAGTTCGCACAGCACCAGCTTGAAACTTCTTCGGTGTCACTGTTTAGGGCATCCACAGCCTTACTCACATTGCAAGGAGGCAGTGATAAAAGAATCTTGGTGTCATCAACGTATCCCATAGTTTGACAGTTCTTACGGACGGACAGAAGCTCATTAACATAAAGGGTGAACAATACAGGGTCAGGAACTGACCCCTGGGCCACTTCCACTGTTAACTGGAGGGGATCGGACAGAGCAGAACCTAGCTTGACGGCTTGACTACGCGAGGAAAGATAGCATTCAAACCAGGCATGAGCGGAGTGGGACACACCCAACCAATGCATTTTTTAATGGTAGCAGATCATGCCGAACACTATCGAATGCCTTCGACATGTCCAGCAAAACCACGAAGGAGATCTTTTTTTGGTATATGTTGTTTAATAGTTGGTCAGTGTAATGTAACAGCGTGGTTTCAGTTGAGTGCCTTTCTCTATTTTCACTCTGTAGACAAGATATTTTATCGTTACTATGTAAAAAGTTCGCAAACTGAGAGTGAGCCCTCTCACAGACCTTAGCCATCATTGGGAGAAGGGATATTGGCCGAGTATTACTGTAGGTTCTTCAGGATCTCCAGACTTAAGGTTGGGGATCACCTCTGCTGATTTCCAGTCTTGGGCAAAACAGCATGATGCAAACAAGGAATTGATGAGGTCAGTGATCATAGGCAGAGTGATGGGCAGCCTGTCCTTAAGGACTCTTGCAGTGATCTTGTCGTAGCCAGGGGCTTTGTTTGAGGCAGATTCCCCACAATTTTCCTGATGTTCTTCTCAGTTACGGGTTGGAACTCCAATTTGTGATGATCGACTACACCCAGGTCGTCGGAGAGTTGCGAGATGGAATCGTTAGGATAATCTGTGTAAAGGGCGTGTTTGTCCAATATGGTCCTGGCTTGAGCAGCTACAGTCTCCCCAACGGAAACGTGATACTGATTAAACTAGAAGTTCTCATTGAGAAGGGAAGTGCTGCCGTTAGTTGCGAAGCGAATAGGACAAAGACAGTTTGTAGAACAGTTGAACATATCAATTCTTTTTTATTAAAGTCAATAACTTAGACTTGCTGGCATTATGAAACACTCAGAGCTTAATATAAAAAATGAACCGATCACTATGACAAATACGCTTACATTCATATAACTCGCTAAGGTTTCAATACCATTTTGTAATTCATTATAACAATTCACGAAATTCTAAAACAGCAGTGCTGATAGGCTGTTTCTTCATGGAACAATCATCGTACACAGAATCAGTGAGATAAGTTGCGAACAAATGACGTACAGGCCAAAACTTGTTTATTCACAGGTCAGGTAGATGTACAGCACATGCCGTTCACTTATATAACTTACAATCCTGATTACCGAGATAACAATCTGTGTGACAAAAGAATACTCGCTATAACTAATCTTGAAACCTGAATAAAAGAAAATAAACCGAAAAAATGTTCCGTACAATACGTCTTGAACTTTTCTTACCGTTTAGGCCGTTTAAAAAGACAGCAAGCATCCGATAAACTACGATTTCTGCACAGATCTTACATGAGAGCAAAACAAAATGGCGGGTTGCTCCTAAGAAAAAAACCGGCGCGGCAGCAAAGCAAACCGCTGACTGCACAGCGCTGCAGTCACAGATGACCATCGAACCAAAAAAATCTCAAAATGGATCAAGAATATGGTCTGCTGCCGGCTGACGCCCGGCAGCAATTAATTAGCTTGCAGGGCGTTCGCAGTGGTCAGCGGTGGCTTTTTGGAAGGGAGACAGCGATTTAAGATTTTCCAGATGGAATTTATGAATTTATGTTGCCATTGCAGTTTTTCAATTCGGTGCGTACATGCTCTTTTTCGGTGATCCGAATCTCTCGCTTCACCCCATTGCTAAAGAAACGGTGCGCATTTCAGTAAAGTTTGTCCTTTGATCGAAATGCTAATTTATGCCAATTATCGCGGGTTTCTATTAATTTTTTAATCTCAGAAGTAATAAAAGGATGTGAGCGTGATTTGATTTTTATGCGCTTTAAAGGTGCATGGTTATTTAGCGTGTCCAAAAATAAAGTATTAAACACGTCAACTCGGTCATCAAAGTTGTCGAAAATATTGGCCACATAGAAGGAAACGCGTGCTAAGTCATCGAGAAATGCCTCTGGTTTGTAGTTTTTGTAGCTCCTAGTGGTGACATATGAGGGCCGGGGCTTTGAAGCCTTGAGTTTTGAAATAGAAGAAACAAGGCTATGACCGCTTACTTCTGAGTTTGCCACGACACAATCAGCAATGAGATTTTCATTTGTTGTCAACACTAGGTTGATTAAAGACATTGATGATTCGGTTATCCTTGTAGGTTTGTTGACTAGCAGGGCGACATTAAGAGAGTTGCAAAAATCAGTCAAGGCGCGGCCTTCAGGGTAAATTGCAACCTCGTTCCCAGGGTTCTCTCCTACCCGCCCTACGGAGCGAGCGAGAGAGAGAGAGACCCTGGAAAACGCTGGTCACGTGGCCCCAGAACAAAATTACTTCTGAGAGAGGAGTCCTTCGTCTCACATTTTTTTGTCTGGTTTATTCGCAACGTTCACGCAGTGATCGCAACGGCAAGATAGATTTGCTAACCCCACTGCAAATATAACTGAAACTAAGGGAAATTTCTGCCTAAAAAAACTATCAGATAAACTAGTGAATTACCAGAGAAGGAATCAAAAGCTAGCGTTGTTGCCGGTTTCACCGATGACACCAATCGATAAAAATCTACGATCTTGAGTTATACACAAGCGAGTTAATTTTTTGAAGGTAAAATCCCTGTATGTTGAACTTCCATATTAAAAGTTTCAATGTTTGTCTGACATCGGCTGGTAATCAGGCCAAATAAACCTACACCATTTGCGGTCTTAGCGGTTCGGCGTGACAAACCCCCGCGACAAATCCCGACAAAATATGGCAGAGAGCAAGGAATTCAGTTAATACATTTACGATCAAAGTAATATTTTAGATCTAGTGACTTCACGGAAAGCTATAGCCTAAAATGTCAGCATTTCCCATCTCCTAACCTTTGTTATGATGCGGCAACAGAACCGAGTAAATAGATCAAGGTATAAATAATTTTATACCGACGCGACATGGAAGACAACAGGAAATAGTATATATAAACAGAGACAAAACAGACAACATAACCTGCATAATAGTAGTCTTGAAAACACATACAGATACTGTACATTCGTTTTCTAAAGTGGCCTCCACAACATGACGGCAATTCAAATCTAGTGCGTTTCGGTATGAATACTACTACCAAGATACCTAAATTATTTTTGACTGTACAGATGGTGAATCCTCCGCGATTTCCGTTGTATGTGCGAAATGAAAAGCATCGCTGATAAACATCCCATTAACATCCAGATATTCTGCAGGAAGTTACGCTTTCGCTGTCAAAGGTGCATTATTTTCGGCGTTTAAGATCAGGTCAGGTACATAGTTTCATGGCTGCACTGACCTGTCTACGCTCTGTAGAGACAAATCTCACACTTACCTGCCCCTTCCCCAAATCGTTTGTTTGCAATCTCCCAGATTCTGGGAGACACGTGACCAGCGTTTTCCACGGTCTCTCTCTCGCTCGCTCCGTAGGGCGGGTAGGAGAGAACCCTGGGAATGAGGTTGGGTAAATTGAACCCGGTAAGACGTTAGCGTTTATTATTACGTCCATACTCAGAAGCAGAGAGTCCATTAGAGATGTTGTAAGGTCGTCGAGAAAGCGAAAAAAGGGCACAGTGTCAGGCCTGTAAGCAGTGCATATAAGAAACGATTTCAAATTTCCACACTGAATCTTAAGCCAGAATTGCTGAGAGTTAGCGTACGCAGTCGTCGAGAGCTCACCCATGACCAACGCTTTGTAAAGATCTTGGACATAAACAACAATTCCACATCCTGATTTGTATCGGCCTCTGTCTTATCTAAAAACGACATAACCGGGGATATTAATGTCAATATTTGTAGTAGAGGGATCAAGCCATGATTCGGAGATAGCCTGAGTATCAGGCGTTTCTGGGGAAAGGGGGAAAATGGAAGCGAAAAAGGGAGAAAAAATCTCTTCTCCCCTTGCCCCGTAGGAAGGCCTGATACTCAGGCTAATCCGGAGATGGTAGCGATTATGAGTAATTGCTTGTTTGACGAGATGAAACTTCTCGCACGAAACCATAGGCCATCAGGCTTAAGCCATGTTTCAGTGATCGCTAAAAATCGACATGAAAGGTGCTGTCACGTCTCTCTAATGACCTAGACAGATAAGCAAGAATGTATATAGACTTTAATTTTCCGGAAGGCATCATTAAGCGTTATGAAGGAACAAGTCTCACGATTGGCAAAGTCTGCCGTCGTCCAATATGTTACCGTATTTCGTCTCATTTTGGCTAAACGGGTGAAACACTAATCTCGGGCTTGAGACGGAAAGGCATCATATTGCGAGCTTTGATGTGGGCGGTGACGAGTCTCTGGCCTCAAAAATGAATACAACAAAGCCTGGCTGAATACAAATTGGCTAAAACACCGAATATTCGAATATTCTGAGAAACGTATCGCTTCAATTCACAAGAATTTTTTACCTTCACTTGCATTCATAGGCTTTCTACACGAAATAGGATTCCTCTGCCTTTAGTTTTCCACTGCCCCTTTTCGACAGTCGAGTGTTCTTTAGGATATAAACATTATTTACTTTTCTCTGTTAGAGCGTAATTATGAGTGTGCTGCGAAGCCACAATAACAAAACGCGCGGTGGCTTGGTTGGGTCTGTGCAACCATAATGTACCGTTCCATTGAGCGCGAGAAGTTTCCGGAATTTTTGTTGAATGGAAAGCGCCCCATGTGTCCCTTTCAAAACGGCTCGTCTACATCCGGGATCTTGAATAAATCGACTATGTCAGCAAAGTTTACATGTGATGATTTATGTGGAGAAAGCGAGAGTTATTGAGAGAGAGAGTAATGTGATGATATTTCGCCCGTATTAAGTGTGAAAACATTGTGTCTGGTTGGTTGTGGATAGTTTTATCAGTGCCGCGAACGTGGTTAATTGTGTGATTTCCTGAAGTTGTTGACAGACAGATTTCAGGTATGTCGTGGCGCTCGTGTTATAAGAATATTGTGTACAAGCATCAAAACGCTTTGTAGGTGTTTAGTTGAAGTGATTTTGTCTTAGACAACCGATTGTGGGGTCAAGAAAAGGTGAATTCTAGGTCTGTTTTAGCCGGGCATCTCGCTATGGGCCTCATAGTTTAAGAGACTGAAAGGTCATCATTTCTGTGCTTTTAAATGTTGTTCATTTCGTTGCAAATCTATCGCTTTTGCCAAGAGCAACTTTTCGTGTGTTGCCAGCGATTAATTCGTCCGTATTAAGCCCTAACTAACGACTTTCAAGTGCTTTTTATTGACCTCAAGGATCAAAATGTTAAAACGCACTTGAAAGTTCTGGAGGTACCTTTTATCAAATCCAGACAGATATTAAACATGTACTACACAAATGAAACGCCACCAGAGACCTCGAAGTAGCTGGCTATCTTTACTTCAGATCTTACATATCGACCTTCTGGCTTATAATAGCTTGTTTTCTATGTTTGCAGGTCCAGCAATTTTCTTTATATTTACTTAAAAGACACGTGAATTTGACTTGAATTTTGCTTCTCAAGCCAGTTCTTGTAATTTAACGGTCATTCGTGAATATTGCCTGATGAGTGTGGCCATTCTTTGACCACACGAAACAGCGTTGTCGCAATAAAACGATGAATTGAAATCTTACTACTATAGATCATTATAGTCACTGCTCCTCTTTCGGTGCAGTAGGAAGAATAAAGCAAGAAAATAAGGCTATCATGAGTTTTCCCGGGCTTGGCTGACTCACAAAGAGGACAAGACTTTTCGCAATAACTACGATACCTTTCCGTTATTAATTGCCACTTGCATAGTAACCGGGTGATGTTAACCGTCATGTTTTGCAACTTGTGCTCTGTACTTTAGTCAGTACAGGTATACTTCGCAGTGACATTGATACTGTAAGGCTTTTAATTTTCCCTGTGCTTTTATTAACTAGATGGATACACTTTGAGAAGGTGATCAACGCTTTACTTTCCAAGTCCAAGCCAGATTATTACCTGAGTATAACGAAACTACTGACCCATGCCAAGGAGAAGTGCTTCATCGAAGATGAGAAAGAGTTTACGACCATGGTGAATTTCTATCATGACCTCGGGATAATTATCAAGCACCGTAGCACAGTCATCTTGAGTACTCAGTGGCTGATAAACTTGTTCGGACAGCTGATCACTATTCCAGATTTTAACAAAATTGTAAGAAATACATTTAAAAATTGTTTTAAAACTATGGCAATGGATGCAGACGTATTTTTGGTCGTTGCTTCTGCGACAACTAATGATACGTCTGCATTTGCAGGCTATATCTATCGATAACCGCTGAAATCACGGGTTCAACAAAATCCCATTCATGACGAGGACTTACGTGTGATCAGAACAATCAACCTTTAAAGGTGTACAATGCAAGTAAGTCGAAGCAATTGTGAAATCAATGTCAACATACAAGGCATCTGCCATGGCCAAAATTCCGCTATTAGTAATTAAAGATTATCTCGTCCAATGCTTCCCCTCTCTCACAAGTGTTTATGCCGCATCAATTGGTGCCCACTAACAATAAGAGCTGCTTATAACCAATTTACCTGCAATTGTCGGCAAATGTAGTCTTAAAGGAACCTCTCACAACAAAACAGAGTGGGAAGACATATATACGTCTGCTGAAACCAGCATCTTTTCATGTCCACAAAATCAGAACGCACTTTCAGATTCTGGAAATGAAATTTGGACCGTAAGAATCTTCCGGCGAGTAAACGAAATGGAGGATGCTGGCATTTACGTGGCGCCTTAAAGAGTATTATAAAGGGTTAAAATATGAGGTCTGGTTCGAAGTCTATGGTCTTTTTTCGATTTATTTACAGTTGTACTTTCTAGGCAGTCTTTCATAACTTCCATTTTATATGCTTCCTCGCTCAAAACTTTTTCCTTAAATGTTTACTTGAAATGTTAAATTCCTTATTTCTTTAAGTAAACTCACTAAAAATTTATTGGTGTGACAATTTAGTAGTGTGTGATCATTCCTCGTGTTATTCCGTCTTAGGTCCCTAGGTTTGGAAAGCACTGGAAGAAAGTCGAAAAAAGCGGTGTTCTCAGCATGGAACTGCTTGATCATGTGTTTTCCAAATTTCTTCTGAAGGGCGTTGCCAGGAAAGACATTCTAGATTTAATGGAACAATTTGGTTTGATTGCAAAATTTTCATCTTTGAGGACAGGTGAAAAGTATTTCGTTCCATCTCTACTCAAAGCATCGCCTGATTCTCTGTGTTCCCTGGCGCCCACAAGGCTGGACCCTAGTCCCCTGTATGTGTACTTCGTCAGCGGTTTTGTTCCCCATGGTCTGTTCACTCGGCTTGTTTCTCGATCTGTCCGTTGGTGTTCTGAGGCTGGTTCAACTCAGCCCCCTACCCTGTACCAAAATGGAGCGTGGTTTGTTATTGGAAGAGAAATTGCCTATGATTTTGTTCTTATCTGCAAGAAGCAATTTATTAAGTTTTTTATCAGACAGAGAACCCCCCCTCAGCAGATCTCTGTGGATGGCACAAGTGAGGTGGCAGTGCAGGTTCGTAAGTTTGTGGAGGCAACTTTGCAAACTTTGTCACGTGATGTCTATAAAGGTGGATTGCAGTATCATATTCGGGTCGCCTGTCCGTATTGTCAGCGGGAAAAATGCTCAAGCCATGATCAGATTGCATGTTCTCATGAAGATTGTCTTCACCTCCTTGGGTTAAGACAAGGAGATCCTCTGATTTGCAAAAAGAAACTTGCAGAGGAGGTACTCACAGTCAAGGGGCAACAAAAGTGGTTCTCACAAATAGCAAGTAAGGTAGGCAGCAGTGAAATGCGATCTCTAGCAGTGCTGTTAGCAATCCAATGCACTTTATCAAACCTGGGTATTAAGGGGACCTCTATTACGCGGTCACTTACCAAAGTCCCGGGAATAGTTTCCCTCAATTAAAAAAACTGACCTGTGATAAGCGGTCACCTTTTCCGAGGTCGCAACGGGCTATTTTTCATTGTCTTCATCTCTATTTAAACGGTCACTTTGACAAGATGTACCGCACTAGTGCAGCGGATACACTGTTTTTGGCGTTTGGTGGTCTTTTACATTTTTTTCTTTTGGCACAAGTAGAGGAAGAAACAGTTTTACGCCAATCTGTCGTGGGATTTCGCGCTTTTACCATTTTCATTTTCTTGAGTAGCTCTTACATTTTTCAAACCTCTATCAAACAGTCAACCTGTATTAAGCGGTCTGTACGCCATTCCCCAAGGGTGATCGCTCAATACAGGTTGACGTACAGCTAAAAATTAAGTCATTAAAAGACTAGCCATCTATTTAAACCAAAAAAGCTTCACTGACAAAGTCTACGCATGTGCTCTGTAAGGTTATAGTATGATGTATGTCTTCATTTATACTACCACACGCTTATAATTCTCTGCAGCATAAGGGAAATCTTGTAGTTCAGTTTCTGCCAACCCAGCAAACATTACGTTAAATCAAATATGTTGATTGGATCAATTGGGTACCATGTATAACTCAAAGACCCATATTTCAAGCTCTTTAGCTCCTTGCCCTTAAGTCTTGAACTGAGAATCCCTTTACAGTGGCCAATTGACCTTTACGAAGAACAATAAGATGCTTTGTTGATATCGTGCATACATGAATTACTTTGCTCTCAAACCCCCGCCTCATCATTCGCGATGTGGGTCAACAGCTTTCACATATAGCTTCTTATATATGACTTCCTATGAGTCACCGTTGACAATAATTGTTATTGGCGTGCATGCGTAGCAGTAAGCATATAACTTTTTCCCAAGTCTTTTTTAACGTGCTTTTTAGCATTAAGTTATGGCCTCCAGCGGGTTGACAACATGTTTTGCAAACTTTTGTTCAAAAAGGCCACAGATGAAAAATTTATATTTTGAAGTAAGCAATTTTGGTTCCCATGCAGGAAGCGAGTACTCCATCATTACCACCTGATATTGCACAAGTTCATCCAGAGCGTGTGGTACTGAAAGTTACCCTTCTAGCGAATGAGTGGGAGTCGTCCATGGGTGGCTTGTCAACAATAAACAGGACTCTTGCCAAAAATTTGGCAAAAGACCCACACGTAGAAGTGACTATTCTTGTACCTGAATTTCATTGTGGAGAAAAAGACAAGAGAGTGGCCAAAAGTCATAACATCTTCATTAGGGAAGCAGGGCATCTTCCTGGCTTTAGTGATCCTCTTGACTCGTTGACCTATCCACCAGAAGACCTTGACATTCAGGTTGTGATCGGTCATGGAGCAAAGCTTGGTAGGCAAGCCCAAATTATCAAGAGGTATCGTTGCTGCAAGTGGTTGCAGTTTGTGCATACTGAGCCTGAAGAACTGGCAATGCATAAGAACTATCAAAGCGCCATTGCCAAGGGAGAGAAGAAGAACAGAGCTGAAGTGGAACTTTGTCAAATTGCAGATCTCGTTGTAGCCATTGGACCCAAGTTGAAAGACGCGATCTCGTCCCAGTTGCGCTCATCTCGTCGAGAAATCTTTCAATTAACACCAGGTTCCTTTACAGAGTTTTCAGATGTTGAGCATGCTGAACAAGGGAATGTGAATTTCAAAGTGTTAATCTTCGGTCGCGGTGATTTAGAAGACTTTATTCTTAAAGGATACGACATTGCCGCTAAATCCATAGTGAAATTGAAGGACAGTTCTTACAGTCTTGTTTTCGTTGGTGCTTCCGATGGAAGGCAGGATGAAGTCACAAAAATCTTACTCCGGACTGGCATTTCAAAGAACCAGCTGATTGTGAGATCATTTGTGAAAGACGAACAAAGATTGAGAGAATTGTTTTGTGAAGTCGATCTGGCCATCATGCCATCAAGAACTGAGGGGTTTGGTTTGACAGCATTAGAGGCCATGTCAGCTGGTCTTCCCATTCTGGTGAGTGGAAACTCCGGATTTGGAAAAGCACTGCGTGGTCTTCCAATGGGTGAGTCATTTGTGATCGACTCTGATGACCCCAAGGAATGGGCAAAGGCAATTGCAGCCATCCGTCAAAAATCAAGGACACAACGGCTTGAGGAAATCCAAAGACTGCGAAGAAGTTATGAGGACAGATACTCTTGGGAGAGACAGTGCCAGGCCCTTGTCGCCAGAATGTGGAAGATGGTCCATGGTAAGAAATTAACTTTGCTAAAGGGGAGTAACTGCTGGGTCTCTCCTTTAGAGAAAGAGAACGACAGAGAACCGTCCAGCTAAAACTTTGGCTTATAATATATCACACAAAATAAATGGAGGTCTTCTCAGATCGGATCGTTTATTTTTTCAAGAGTGACAATTTTTTCTGTAATTCAACGTTTCTTTCAATTTTTTTCAGGCGTTGAAAAGACACAAGAAGATGCCGTTCCACAGAATGAATTTGAAAACGATGCTGCAAAAGGATCGATGCCTGGTGATGTAGTTGTTTGTTTTTTCAAATAAACCAAAGCCAAAATTTATTTTTGTTGTAGAGTGGGGTTATTTTGTTCCTTTGAAACCACGGAAAACATTTATATTGTGGGCTGCTTTTAGCTATAGACCAGTTCATCATGTCCTATTAAACTGACGTGAAATAACTTCATTCTTATTTTAATAATTTCCTTCTGCCGTTTACAGGCGAACCCACTTTTCTTGCACTTCAACAAATCCTGTTGGAAGCACGCATAGAGTCCAGCAAAACTGATCTGTCGCAGGCCTTAAAGAGAACTTCGCTGGAAAAAGGTTTTGCGATTTCTGACAATCAAGGAGAGGGAAACTGCATGTTTTTTGCACTTTCAGAGCAGCTTGACCTCATCAAAGGAATTCAAATGTCCCATGATGATTTACGCCGAACTATTGTTCAACACCTTTGGGAAAACCCCAGGCTGGTAAATACCTTATTATATTATCTAGAGTGGATTCATTTGCCCTGGATACGTAAGCCGTCGCATTTTCCCGCTGAAAATTTTTTTTTTATTGTTTTTAACGTTTAAGGCAATAAGGCCTTGTTCTGACGTCTCCAAAATACGCGTACACACTTAGCGTATTTGATTTTTTTCCGCCCTTTCACATAAAAACGCTGAAATTATTGAAAAACAATAACATCCCTCACAGAGCAAACGCAGTGCTAGTAGCCTATAATGTATGACATTATCGTATTAGAAACCTCTGTTTTCGTCCGTCGACACGTAAACAGAAACGACAAGTTGGCGGTTTTAAAAGTCCACTCTACGACCGCTTTCTTTTGGTGCCCAAAAAGGCCGTTTTCGTGTGGACAGAAGGCTAAAAATACCCTGATGCGCGTGGACGGGGCCTTAAATTCCTGCAAGCAAATGTGACGGCTTTACGGGTATGATGCAAATGAATCGACTCTTTATGAGCAAATCAACAGCTTGCACAAACATCACGCTCGCTTGTACTTTGCTTCGTCGTCCACTGCACGACTACGACATGAAACTTCCTAATCCGACGTTTTGTGGAGGACCTCGAACGCACGGCGACGAATTATTGTTATTGGATCCGGATGCTGGTTTTAGAATTTAAATCTAGGAAAATTCGCCTACATATGTTAAATTGAACAACGCTACATGAGCGTAATAAAGTTAAAAAGAACGCAAATTCATTTTTTTAAATAACGTTTTCGACTCGGAGGCATAAATGGAAACGGATTTTAGGAAATCTGTTTTGATCGCCTCGATTTTCTGGCTTTTGTCCTAAGGGACGTATAGGGGCACAGGTTAGACTCTATTTTGCAGTGGAGTCTCATTACTCTGAAGTGGAATAAAAAGCGTCGATGACGCCATGAATGAAATGCGATGTAATCTCCAACATAACGTCAAGAGCTATCTTTATGTAGTGTCTAATTTAACCAGTTATTCTTATATTTTTGATGTAACTTGGAGGGATCATCTCCTTATTTGGTGAGAATGATGTCATAGTTATTTTAAATTATGTGCGTCGTGTCCATATAAGGTCATGAAACCACCTAACCTGTTACTTAAAATCACTGAACCGTGACGCCTTCATTGTCCATTGCAGACAATTTAGTCTATTTTCACACTATACTGGATAGCTTTTTCGCCGGCACAAAAATCGTACCAGTTAGGGCCTCTGTTCACATACAAGAACAGTGATTTCCGTCACGAAGCTGCGTCGTGCCGAATAGGTGTTCATACTATACCGGACAGATTTTCGTGTCATCACTGAAGGTTATCCGGAAAAGTGTGAACAAAGCTTTATTGTTCCTGGTTTCGGTTCACTGACGCCTTCGAAGATAATATATTCCACTTCAAAAAGACGTCTAACTGATGCGTCCTATACTACTGAGGTGGACATATTCTTTCTAGTGCCGATACTAATGGTGTCGTCTTAGAGAGAGCTGACAGCGCAGCTGCCTGAATATATACGTTCTACAAAAGCACTCTACCTCTTTCTCTATTAACTACAGTATTTTCTTGTTTTCTTACAGCCGGATGGGACAGAACTGTTTCATTTTGTTGATGGATATCCATCTTGGGATGCCTACCTCAAAAGCATGATGGTAGATGGTACATGGGGTGATCACGTGATTCTACACGGCGCGGCAAACTGTTTCCGAACGTGCATCTACGTGATTAGCAGTCTTCAGCATCGCCATGACGTAATGATCTGCCCAGAGTTTGATGTTACTGGTAGCAACCGGCTTGTGCTGGGTCACCTGCACGAGCTTCACTATGTTAGCCTTATTCCACATAACGGAAGTAAAGATGTCTGAGTATACTGCGATTCAAGAGTTGCTTACTCGCGATATCAAATTGAAGACATTTGAGTGGAACAACTGACTGAACCTTTGTTTTGGCACCGAATTTGAAAAGATGTTGGAAAGAAAAAAGACGTCTGTTTTTTTACATGTACAGTTCTCAATCTGTCAATGTTGTTATTAAGGTACAATTAGCTGTATCAGTAGACTAAGTATTCATAACCAAAAAGTTTCTTCCTCAAAAAATTCCTGCAGCCCCCCCAATTTCTTAGATAAATTACTTTAGTTTTCTTAATAAAACTTGGTTTTTAGGTAAATACTCCACCATTTGAACCTGTTGTTGTAAAAATCCTTGGAAAATAAGCGTACTAATGATTACCTAGTTTCTCTCTCTTTGAGTCAGAAGCCTCTAATTACGCCTCGTCGCTGGGGAACACCAATTCCTTATCATACTATGTAAGTATGTAACTATTTTAATATAGTATAAGTAACTTACCAGAGCATTTTTTTTTACCATTGTGTGTTAATATATTACCAAGGCCACTGCCTCTATTTTGGTACATCAAGTAATACATATAGGTTACGGTAAAATTAGTTAGGTTTTTAAAAAAATATGTCATTCTACCTACTTTGTGAGAGTCTTGTTATAATTTGCTATAGTGTATTAACATATAAATTAAAACGTACTAGTCTTAGGGCCGGACATAAATTGACTCATCTCAGGCTGGACAGTTTCAATTAATTGCTGCCGGGCATCAGCCGGCAGCACCCATATTCTTGAGCGATTTGAGATTTTTTGGCTCGATGGTTCGATGGTTCCATGGTTCGATGGTTCACTAGTTCCATGGTTCAATCAGCAAGTGCTTAGCTGCCGCGCCATTTTGTTTTGTTCTCATGTGAGTTTAAGGTGGCTGAACACAGTTTTGTGGGCGGTCAGTGGTAACTTGCGTGACAGCACGTGTTTTAAATGAGACAGACAAACATGGCGGCGAAAAAGCAATGGTACACAGAGGATGATTTCTCAAAATCTACTCATTAGAATTTTGTGATATTTGGCAGAATTTTTCCTTTTATCGTATTTTAAGTAATGAAAACTTTAAAATGGAAGTTGAACAGACAAATTTTGTGACACATTTAATAATTACAGTACAATTAAATTATTGATTATCTAAAAACCCGTCTGTTAAAATTTGGTCAAATAAGTTTCAAATAGTAATGATACATTACAGTAAGCTGTGTGCAAGTTTATAGGAAAATCTAATGAGCGAATTTTATGTAAACTGCGGAAAAGTGAAATTTTGAGGTTGTACTCAATCGTTCATGTTGCCATGGAAACTACAAAAATGTCAATTTTTACCTGTCAATCAAAATCTTTCATCAGTACATTTTTCACTTGCCAAGTTTCAGCTTGTGACCAGAAACCTTTCTCATGCCATGATTTGGCAAATGACATATAATCACAAACTGCCAAAACTGTGTTCAGCCACCTTAAGATTTGTGCAGAAGTTGTAGTACATCGGATGTTTGCTGTCTTTTTAAACAGCCTAAACGGTAAGAACAGTTCAAGAACTATTGTACGGGACATTTTTTCGTTTTTTTTTTGTTAATGCTAGGTTTCAAGATTAGTTGTAGCGAGTATTTTTTGTCACACAGATTGTTATCTCGGAAATCAGGATTCTAAGTTGTGATCGGCGTGTACTGTACGTCTACCTGACCTGTGAATAAACAAGTTTTGGCCTTTAGTCTTTACGTTATTTGTTCGCAACTCTTCTCGTCATGTACACGATGATTGTTCGATGAAGAAACAGTCTATCAGCACTGCTGTTGTTAAAGTGAATTACAAAATCATGTTGAAACTCTGGCGAGTCAGTATCTGAATGTAAGCATATTTGTCATTGTGATCGGTTCATTTTTTGTATTTTACTCTGAGTGCATCATAATTCTATATTATTGACATTAAGAAAAAAATTCATATGTTTAACTGTTGTACATACTGTCTTTGTCCTATTCGCATCGCAACTCACGGCAGCACTTCCCTTCTCAATGAGAACTTCTAGTTCATAGACTATTCCAGAGGACCGCCCTTCTATAGTGGAAGCTGTTTTTTTCAGCGTCAGTATACAGTCTTGGTACAAACAAATTATGTTCCTTAGACTAAAGGAGTACATAGAGTTTGTACTATTAAAAATTTGAGCCAAATGATCTGATGCAATGTGATTTTTCAGTTTATACATTAGTGGGGTTAATTGCCTTGTCCTTTGTGTCTCAAGATTATCCCACCCAAGTTCATCCAGTATCTCAACTGATCGCCTATGGTAACTAGAGGAAGTTACCACCCTGGCAGCTCTCTTTTGGAGGGTCTGGAGTCTGTTACGTATCCCTTCCCCACAGCTCCCCCACACTATACTACAATAATCGAAATACGGTAGTACAATGGATTTGAACATTGTAATTAATGTATGATAAGGTATGAGATGCCTTACACATCTCAGAACTCGAATCCCTCCAGAACTTTCTTAGCAATTTTGTCTACATGATCTCTCCAAGTTTATGATTGATCTATCTCAACACCATGATATTTATAACCCTGCGATGGACTAGCATCCCGTCCAGGGGGGAGTAGCAATACTCCTAGGCTTGCTTCATGCTACGGAAACTGGTATAAGCTCCGGCCGTGTGGGCCTTGGGCTCGTGTGCGCCTTTACCTTACCTTTTTCTCATTACCATGGGAACGGTCTGGCTGCCGGTCAATTCTGACGAATGAACAGTGCCCTTTACCCCTTAGTTTGAAACACTACTAACCATTCTTTGTGCTACAGACATCTTGATCTCATGCATGCTAAGTAAGTGGTTTTTTTTTTTAAATAAATTTGTATAAAGTATTTTATTAAGAAGCAATGAATGGCTTAAAGTAAACAAATTATCACTCAATGTCACCAAAACAAACTATATTCTTTTTCGACCCAGGCAAAAACCCATTACCATTAGTGATACAATTACGCTAGATAATATTGCTGTGTAACAGGTTGAAGTGACTAAGTTTCTTGGTATTTTATTAGATCAGCATCGTTCTTGGAAACATCTTATAAGTCATAGTGCTAAAAAAGTATCAAAGACTATAGGAATCATAAGTAAAGCTCGTTTCTTTCTTTCTTCCAAATCTTGTTATCCTATACTTCACATTGATTTACCCGTATCTTAACTACTGTAACATTGAATCAGGTGCTCAACGTATCCATCCAATTTGAATAGGATTCTCTACCTACCGAAACGCATCATCAGAATAGTTTGTGAAGCTGAATTTCTTGCCCATACTACACCTCTTTTTCGGACTCTTAATATCCTTGACCAAGAGCCATAATAGGTCCTATTATGGCTCTTGGTCAAGGATATTATGGCTCTTGCCTTGACAGTTTTAGCATTATTGTGTTCTTTGTTGCGTGTTTTATGTACTCATATCATAATAACCTCCTCCCTTATACGTTTAACACCACCTTTGTTACAAATCGCCAAGTGCACACATATAATACTCGAAATGCTAATAACTACCAACCATATTTCTGTAGAACAAACATTAAACAGTTCACAATCCTCCATTTAGGACCTAAACTTTGGAACCCCCTTCCCAATGTTCAGCCCCCCCCCCCCCCCCCCCCTATTCAGGGGAAGAAAGTTCATAAGCCCCCTACCCCTCCCCCTTATTATTTTTTTTTCCCTGTGTTAATTAATCTTGACTGTAAAACTTTATGTGGACTGATCCGGGATGATTTATTCCCCAACTGGCAGTTCGGACTTGTTATTTATCATCAGCTGCGTGACCTCCAACTTCTTGTACTTGATCGTGAGCTTTTCACTTTGTATTCTAATTCTTTCGGCAGAACTGATAGCATCGTCTTTGATAAATTAAATGAGCCCCCGTCTCTCATAAGCCGTCCCCCCGTCTCTATTAAGCCCCCCTCAAATGTGAGTGAAACAAATAAGCCTCCCGGAAGCTTAATAGAGGATTTACGGTAAGAGATCTCTCTTCAGCCCTAAGCAGTAGATATATATACGAAGGTGATGTTATAACTAATTGTATTACCCAAAAAGGAAATAAGAAGTAATTAGGCTTGAAGAAGAAGAAGAAGTAATTAGGCTTGCTAATAAACCACTATAAGGTGCACTTATTTGCAGCATAGACTTTTTGAAGGCGTAAAAACAACTGCAAAAGTGACGGCTATTGTGGCGTATGTTGTAAATGAATGCACCCTATGTTTTGCTTAATTAGTGGTTTATTATTGAGGATCGTTCAAAAACTGCTCTGCGAGGAGCCTGATCGGCTTACCCAGCAGTATGGAGACGCGACTTGTGCACCAGTGACAAGTAATGTGGAACGTGCTCCGACAGTGTGAAGTAGTTTAGAGAATTTCAGAAGGACAAAACGATTTATTTTTAAAGTAACACTTAGAATTGTAATCCTTGACTAAGTTTGTTACGCGTTGTCTACCTTACATCTTCATCCTGTTCCTTCCCTCTTTTCTTCCTCAGTTTGTTGCTGTTTCGTTCTCTGCTTTTCTTTCTCCCTTTCTTTCTCTCTCTTAGTCTTTCTCCTCTTTCCGTTTAGTTACAGATTTTCTCTATTTTTATCTTCTATCCCTTTTAACGCATCTTCAAAAAACTCATTAATAATTCAGAAAGAAAAAACAAAAGAAATTAATTTTTAACGAGTGCCTTTATATCTGATAAAGTCACGGCTAAACTTTGCGTCTATGAGATCACATATCAATGACATCAATTGACCAATCATGTCAATAACTAGAGTTAAATACTATCAATTTAAGTCCCAAGAGTGATCAAGGTCAATTTTCTCCAATAATATCAATACGTAACTAAAAGTAAAGGTTCTAATGATCACTTAAAGGGAACTGCTTTGATCTTAAAACAAATTCTCTGAACTAATTCTTTAAGAAAATGTATGGAGATCAGTCTGGAGAATTTGTGTGTGGATATTGGGATTACAGGGGTTAATTAGCTTG